CCTTTTATCTTTTTAATTTGTTCCCTTTCAACCTCACTGGAAGCCTCCTAGTGCTGACTAGGAACACAGAATTTATTTTCTCTATACCATTAATTACTTTTTAAATCTGTCAAGTCACCTAAATGTCATGCCTCTGTTTCCCTATCTGAAAATTTACTTACCTCACGACTTGACAACAAATTAAATAGTTAACACTTAGAACATAAGAATGGCTACACTGGGTGTGACATTACCCATATTCTGTAAATGCTGTGACCATAATAGTATAGACTGTCCCACTGGGTCAGACCAGTGGTCCATCTAGCCCAGTATCCTGTCTTCCGACTGTGGCCATTGCCAGATACTTCAAAGGGAATTAACAGGACAATCATCAACTCATCCATTCCCTGTCATCCATTCCTAGCATCTGGCAGTCAGAGGCTTAGGGACCCCCAGAGAATGGGGTTGCATCCCTGACATCTTGGCTAATAGATCCACCAATGGCTACCTTTCATGAACCTATCTAATTCTTTTTTTAATTAAGTTATAGTTTTGGCCTTCACAACATCCCCTGGCAACTAGTTCCACAGGTTGACTATGCATTGTATGAAGTACTTTCTTTTGTTTGTTTTTAACCCTGCTGCCTATTAACCCCTGCTGCGTGACCCCTAGTGCTTGTGTTATGAGAAGGGATAAATAGCACTTCCTTATTCACTTTCTCCATACCATTCATGATTTTATAAACCAGTGGTTTTCAAACTTTTTTTCTGGTGACCCAGTTGAAGAAAATTGATGCTTGCAACCCAGCGGAGCTGGGGATGGGGGGGATTGGGGTGTGGGAGGGGCTCAGGGCTGGGGCAAGGGTTGGGGTACAGGGGTGAGGGCCATGGGATGGGGTCAGGAATGAGGAGTTCAGGGTGTGGGAGGGGGCTCTGAGTTGGGGCAGGAGGTTGGGGTACAGGAGGAGGTCAGGGCTCTGGGCTGGGAGTGCAGGCTCTGGGATGGGGCCGGGGTTGAGGAGTTTGGGATACAGGAGGGCTTTACATTCTGTGACCCAATACTGGGTCATGACCCGCAGTTTGAAAAACACTGTTATAGACCTCTATCATATCCCCCCCCTTAGTCATCTCTTTTGCAAGCTGAATAGTCTGTCTTTTTAAAGTAAATTTAATTGAAGATTGAAAATGCTACTTTTGAGTTTAGTGTTATCTGTGCCCAGATACTGCACTGCATTCAAGGGTGTCCTCTTTTTTTATCATTTTTCTAGCCCTTCCTGTGTACATGTAAAGGAGGGGAATGTGGCAATGGTTTGCAAATTCTAATTCCTGTGGGCATGTGGTGAAAACCATATAGGTTAAAATCATCGGCTAGAATCATCTTCCTGATAGAAGACTGTCTGGCAAGTTCTTTTATAACTGAAGTGAATAGGTATTATATTGTTGACATTGTGCTTCTTCCTTTAGACTAACTGATCAGTTTATTACAAACAAATGTTCACATTCTTAAATTTTTAGTCTTAATTTGAAAGGCCTCTTTACTGTAAAATCTCTAATGAATTGCATTTTAACTTTCTAATTTTTAAACAATTTTTTTTATTGAGTATAGTTAAATTCCAGATGACCAAAGCATATGTAAAAATACTGCTGCAAATGGGGAATTAATAAGCAAAATATCACCTATGCTGTGAGGGTCAACATGTCCCATTCTCTAAACCTACACTTTGTACTTCAGATCAGAGTATTTCTTTAATGTAAAAAAGCGATTCCATTCAGCCTCTGATCAGATGAATTTGTCTCACTCTAGGTTTGGTATTCACCACGCGTCCTAGGTAGGTAGGTTGGTAGATAGATGGTGACCCCAATCCTTCATAGCAACTCTGTCCTGTTCTCCCTTCTACCCCTTTCCTCCTGCTGCTGTTCATTCTTTTATAATCTGTCAAAAGTTCTGCTTTAACCCATGTTTTGTGACGAAGTCATGGGGGGAAAGGAAGGGCTTTCTTGTCTTTGCCAAACTCTTCCTGAGGAGTATAGTCTGAAATGTGTAGGCAGCTCTTGGCACAGATTCATCAATTTACAGTGACTTGCAATGCTGATACTTAATAGTCATCACCAGTAGTTTAGCACTGGCAGCAGCTAAGATTGATAATGTAGCTTGAGAATTGTATCTTGTGTGTTGGGTTTCTTCTATTTGGCAAATTTAGGAGAGCAGTTAATCAATATAAACTAAGGAAGGAGAAAAGAGAGAAGTCCATCTTTCATTCAAGAAGGATAATTATCAACTTTCATTTGCTTGGGAGAGAAGAAAAGATCTCTTCAAAGGGAAAAATAAAATGAGAGCATGCTGCATAAATTGGAGTCGGGGTTGGATTGAACAACCTGTGAAGGAAGAGAAGGATGCACAGGAGGAAGAACATGAATTGCCTTTGGCTCTCATTGCACTGCTCTGTGGTGGTGATGAGTGACACCCTACATGGGCAGTAGGCTCCCATGGAAAAGTACACCCCCAGCCCCAGCACACACCTGTGCATACACCAGACCAAGAAGTGTGAAGGAGAGGCCCTCATTTGGGGGATCCAAGTAGGGCCTCCCCCACATTGTAGTCTTGGGAAAGGGGGTAGAGCAGGCAGGAACCAGCCAGAGACTCCAGCCAAAGCAGAAACTGCTGAACTGGGAAGGGAGGGGTCAAAAGGGGGTTCAACTGGTGCCATCCCTCCCCCATTACATCTCTGGATCCAGAACTGTGCAGGGGAGACCCTCTTCTATTTTGGAGGCACTAGGGCATAGGTGGTGCCTCCCTTGCACACACACCCATGCATATTCCCCAACAGTCCCAGGTTATGCAGGATTGTCCTGCTATGGCTCCCAAAAACCCCTGGCGTGGTTGAAGCAGAACATTTCCTGCATTCAGTGCACCCACAGCCATACACACTTTACACGCAGTGTGTAATATTGGCAGGGGCACAGCTAGGGAGGGCACTGGCTATAACTGCTCCTGAGAATGCTCAGTTCCTCTGGGCAGCTGAGTGGCTGCAGTGGAGCTCAGCGTTGGAGAGGGGGTGGGGGGTAATAGGCACCTATATAAGACAAAGCCCCAAATATCGGGACTGTCCCTATAAAATTGGGACATCTGGTCACCCTAATTGGCAGACATGCCTGGGATCTCCCCAGCTCCCGCTGTGCTGGGCTCAGCAGCCCCTATGCTCAAGAACTGCTCTGCTGGCAGTGGGAAACTCCTTTGCAGCCATTTGTAATGTTGAGAGTTATGCCCATGTGGCCTTGAGGGCAAAACTGCAGGGAGGAACCAGCCAAAGACTCCAGCCAGTAGCAGCTGCTGCAGCAACAGCCAAAGCAGGGACCTTTGCATATTCAGAGAACTTTCGAGTTCTGACAGGACTGTCTCTGCCCTGTGCTGATTGGCTGTGTTCCAACCCTCACCCTCCCTCAGTCTCTTCACCTCAGCTTCACTCCACACCTGCCCCCTTACCCTCGCCTCCCTGTCCTGTCCGCCTCACCCCCTTTCCCTTCCTTTCCATTTAGTGTATCCTCTCCTAACTAACCCCCCCACACACACCAAATTTAAAAATAGTGGAGCTAACATGATATTTGCTGCCATCACACAGTTCACTCTGCAGGTGGTCTATCCTTTTCCTAGATGGTGTCTGCCTGAGCTATTTAGATTGAAAGCACTTTGAGGCAGGGAGCATCTACTAATCTGTGTTTGTTCAGCACCCAGCACAATGGGGCCCAATTCTTGGTCCTTAGCCATTATCCCAGGGGTAGGCAAACTATGGCATGCGTACTGAAGGCAGCATGCGAGCTGATTTTCAGTAGCACTCACACTGCCCAGGTCCTGGCCACCGGCCCAGGGGACTCTGCATTTTAATTTAATTGAAGCTTCTTAAACATTTTAAAAACCTTATTTACTTTACATACAACAATAGTTTAGTTATATATTATAGACTTATAGAAAGAGACCTTCTAAAAACGTTAAAATGTATTACTGGCACGCGAAACCTTAAATTAGAGTGAATAAATGAAGACTTGGCACAGCACTTCTGAAAGGCTGCCGACCCCTGCATTATGCTAATAAGCATGATTATTATTAAGAATAACAAATGAGTGATACCCTCCATTGGGCTGTCCTTAGAGAATAATGAGCTACTCCCACAAAAAATTTCCACACAATGTGTGATAAACCCCATGTATTGTGTGTGTCCATCCTTATCTGCTCACACTTGCCTCCAGGAGGGGTGAAGCACTGGGGGTCTGATTCATTAGGTCACTCATTTAAATAAAAATATACCCACTTTTTCTCTTGTGAGAAACATCACTTCTATTAAGTGCTGCTGCTGGAAATCAGTGCCAGTTCTAGGCATATGCAGATTAAGCAATTGTTTAGGGCCCTGAGCAGCTCAAGGGGGTTCCCTATTTGCTTTTTATTGTGTTGTGTGGGAGGGGCCCATCATATTCCTGCCTGGGGGGGGGCCCCCAATGAGCTAGCAGAGCCTCTGCTGGAAATGTTTATACTGTGGTTCTGAAAATTCTCCGTAACCAATGGATAGTATGGCCCCTTGTTCACCTTGAATAATGTGAAGTGGTAGGGGTTTAAAATACGTAGCTGGATTTTAAGGGCGTTTCTCCCCTGGGAAGTGTTTGCAAATACCCACCATTTGGTGCAGTCTGGTCCTTCTACAAGACCAACATTTTCTCTTTTGTGAGCCCCAGGGATGAGCTGTCTCTGGCAGCACGCAGAAAGGAGTGAGCTATCTGCAGCAGAGAGAGCATCCCAAAGTTCCCTTCAGTTTGATGGCAAAATGTGAACAAGGGGCTCTCCCCTCAAACTATGCCCTCCAGCACATCATACTGGAGGAAGGGATGTGGGAGGGGAATAATGCTCTGCGCTTGATTGCCCCCTAGAAGAGGAGGGAGAATGGGGAGAAACATCCTTGGGTTGGGCCCCCTAAAGGCAGAGTATAACCACGACAAACGGGGTCAGACCCTTTCCCTCCCTGGGCTGGGCTACTTGTGGGGTTGGCTGCAATAGGAGGAGGCCAGGATATTCCTGAATGAACAGCTCAGGCCCCCTGCCACTTGTCAGTGTCACCTCAGGCTGCAGCCAGTTTCTATAGCGACGGCACTGATCCAGGGCTCCAGAGTAGTAACAAAGCCTGTTCCCTGCTCTCAGACACTCGCTGCTGCTGAGGCTGAGGGAGGACGAGGGCACCGTCTCCTGAAGAAACCCTGCCTGCAGCACTCAAAACAGGTACAGAGAGGCACCCGGTTCTGTCTGCAGACACCTCACCTTTCACCGCATCCTCATCCCCTGCACAGGGGGTCGACTATGTCTCTGGGTGGCATTGTGGGGCTGGGGCTCACAAAGCGTCAATGGGATTTAATGACTTGCTGACAGTTTATTACTGCACCAGTGTCTCCCCTTGAAGGAGCGAGCAGCAGCCCCGCCTGAAGCAGCTCATTCACCAAAGAGCCTGATGCAAAGCCCCCCTGCACACCCCTGCCCGCACTCAGGATTATTTGGGGAGGAGGTGAGGAAATGGGTGTAATGGAGGGAGTGAGGGAGTTAAACTCTGCCTGGCTTTGCCACTGTGGAGAAAAACAGATGAAAGAATAAAAGGAAGGAAAAGGGAAGATTAATACACACAAATATTGATGTAGTGAGAGAAGAGGACGAGCAGACACATAAATATTGTGGTAAAAGGCAAAAGAAGGAAAGTTGAGATTTTTGTCAAATCTTATTTGTTTTTCTGAAGTGCACTGGAAACTCAGTGCCAGTGATGAAGACTCGTCTGAAAGGAAGAGGGACAAAAGGCTTAGAGAGAAATGGGCAGTTTTATGACTTTGCCTCAAGTATGGGAGGAATAAAAATGGTTCAATTTAATTGTGCAGCTCCAGGGTTCACAGTGCTTGTTGAGGTCACTTTCTTCTGTTAGTCTGACAGGTTGACTTACTGTCCTGGCAACAACTTGAAAGATAAGCTTACAGAAAAATGATACTTTCAGGTTTCATTCCATTTTAGTTCCCTGATCTGCAACTGGTGAGCTTGGCTTTTCATTTCCAGTGGGGATGATATTTATATATTTAAAATAACATGCATGTTCATCAATGAAGTTCATATTTTGTTGCAAATGAAAACAAAGTTTTCCCTTGGGACTTCTGTGTTATATCTTGTTATATTCTGATTCTCGTTTTTAGGAAAAGACTGGGTCTGATTTTGAAATGTATTGCCTGAGGAAAAACAAGAAATACTAAAGCATTGGGTTTAGGATTAATGAATCAAGAAATTGCTGCACACTCTTGGAAGTAAACATACAATATGTTACAGCTTGGTTTTATGTGAAATGTGTTTGTTGCTCTCAAATTAACCTTCACTAGAAAGTGATTGTTTTTTTTTTTTAACCTCTACCAGAAATGTGGTTAGGCAACCAAGGATAGTCTGGACTGAGTTGCTAGGAGGGTTGGAATAGTAGGAAGGTGAATTTGCTCTTAGTGCCAAACAGGATCAATAGGAAGGCCATTGACAAGGCAGTCTCTAGAAGTTTGCAATACAGTTAAGTGCCTGTATTGTATTTGTACTGGGCTCATAAATAGCATTATTTTTTCAGCACTGCTACTTACTTGCTTTGCAAGTAAATGTATTTAATAGACGTTGAAAGAGCTCTCTGAATGAAAACAACTCCCAATGATGACAAATAGACAGACCTTGCAGGATCAGGTCCTAAGTAACTACTAGCTAGCAGTGTTCTATTGTGGGAATTGGAGTGAAATTATAGCAGTACATGTGTGCAGCCTGTCAGGTACTTGAAACATGTGTGGTCTTTGATGTAAACAGGAAGAGATGGGAGATTGTATATGAAAGAACCATGTACAGAGGAAGATGTGGCAGTAGAGATGCTGATTGGCAATTAAGGATTGGAACTTGAAGTGGGCCAAGGTATTCTGAGTACAATCACAGTATCAAGATTTAAGACACAGGAAATAATGTAATATTCATCTTTCAGGATTTCAATACCCTCATTAGCTAATTGTAGCCTAGGCACTGATGAGTCTATGAGATGAATATAGAAATTGTTACTCTTAAATGAAATAATTATCCTACCAATTACACTTCACTGAGAGAGACTTGAGAATATTGAGCTAAGAAATATAAAGAAGAAATGGTGACATGAAAGCACAACTTTCTTTAGCAGCTGTGAGCAAAAGCAGCAGATGCTTTGTATAAAGCTGAAATTGTCTGCTTTTGTAAGAAACAAATTACCTGATAGTTTAATATGTATTAATTTTAAATACTCTAAGTAATTCTAAGGTGTATATCACTGTAGTATCCCTCATTTAAACCTTGCATGAAAAGACCTCAGAAGTATTGAGTAAAAAAACCCAAAAGTCCCAGTAGGCTGGTTTACATATTCTGTGTGCAAAGGTTTACTCAATATTTTTTTTAAAGAATGTTTGCCTTTCTTGCCAAAGTGTCATAACAGTTGCTTTGTTGAAAAAGTCATATCCTTCTAAATGCCCTCTGTTTGCATGTAACACCAAGGAGCAACTCTGAATTTATTAAATGCATAGGAATAGCAACCTGAGGTTAGTTAGCACAATGGGAAATGGCATTTCTAGACCTTCCTCCAAGCTATGTGAAATTGAATGCACCTATCAGATAGTAAAAGGTCAGTTGTGTACATTAAAGACAAGGGGACTTCTGCTCCCTTTGCTTGCATGGACCAGGTGAGAAAAACATTGGAACTTAACACAAATCCTGTCGTAAACCCCCAAGTGAAAGGCCAAAATCTCTTACTGGTTACGCTGCCTATCAAATTACATTACAGAAATGGTTCCATGTAGAATATCTGCAAATTCCAAAAATGGTGTTAGATGAAATGTGAGAGGAGACAGAAGACAAAAGCCAAAGTACTACTCTGGTACCCTGAAAGAACAAGGTAATTTACTACAGAGAATATGGCTGTATCATAACCTGCTATGTAAATAGGTGCAGAAGTAGAAGTTTAGACCACATCAGGACCGTGCAGAGTAAGCCATTTCATACCTTCCTGAGGTCTCTCATTCCATATACTATCTCAGGAAGCAGGGGACAGGGCCCAAGAAGTCATATAGGAAGCCATTACAAGGAACTGCTAGTTGTGATACAGGGTCACCATAGGCATTGGTACACACCAGCAGCAGTTTCATACATACAGAGAGATACATAGCACTGGCACCCTGGAGACTGTGACTTCATCCCTCCCAGCATTGTTGCTATGGAGTGCTGTGGGACCTAACTGTACAGGGTTCAGGAAATTCTCATGTGGCCTTTACACACTTTCTGAAGTGTTGCTGTACCTACCCATTGTAAATTAATGTTCCAGCAGTAACATGCTATTGGCAGACATCTGCAGTTTAGTGTGGCATAATATACATACAGTAATCATGACAGTGGATTTCCAAGCGTAAAAAAGCAACTTGCAAATGGTAGCTATGTATAGGCTACATGTTAGACTACTGCAAAGAAGTCAGAAATAGTCCATGTATACATATGCCTTGTGTTTCAGCTCCATTTGCAGGCACATATAAAGATGTATAATGCTATGCATCTTCCCCAGCATATGAACTGTGACTTTTAAACCACTACATTGGATTTTCAAAGCCACATCCTATATGGTTTCTTATAACTTATTTTTCCTGCAGATTGGATGGCATGATACACAGCAACTGAGGCACAATAAAAAATGTGATAATTATGCATATGTACCTTTCCACAATTTTTTTTCTGGCCAAAAAAAGGAACATTTATTATAGGGAGACTGGGACAGTTTTCTACCTTCTATTAATTCCCAGACAAAAACTATGCTAAAATGGAGTTAAAGTTTGGGAGTACATATCAATAGTTTAGAGTAATTTTGAAGCAATGCCTAAAATTAAGGTTGCTCAACATTTTCCATTATAAGATCCTGTTTTCAGTTGCTTATATCTTTGCCAAATTCTAACCAGTTGGGCTGCAATTTTCCATACCAGATGTCTGCCTCAGGCTGACTTTTGTTGAAATTTTCAACAAAAACAATCCAGCCATTTCTCAGAACAAGGTTGGAGGGAAATGGATTGGTTTTTTTCCATGCTAAAAATTGCTTTGGTGCTTCTATGCAGGGAACTGAAATTTAGCAGATGGTCATCTGTATCAAGGATGTGCGTTTTTTCAATCTCGTGAAATTCTGCCCAAATTTGGCCAGGTTATGAGCCTCTGAAAATCTCAGTTCACATTCAAGCTCAGTAGAGGTTTGTTAGTTTTGCAGCTACATTCACTGAAGATTCCATCTCTGCTGAGCATGCTCCATCTCAGGGCTGCAAGGCTGAGCATGACTTTCCCTGCAATTGCTCCTCATGGCAGCCAGGGGCAGCTGTGATGCCATGCACAGGAACCAAGAGCAGGGAGATCCATTTTCTCAGTCCCCTCACACCCCACTGGTGCCCAGGCAGTCAGGAAAAAGAGGAGGCAGAGGAGTGAAATGCAGAGGTGAGGAGCTGGTCCTAGAGGGTAGAGAGAAGGAAGACTGGGACAAGGGGGGAGGAGAAGAGACTGAGATGGGGACCTGAAGAGAGAAGAGGCTGGGACAAGAAAACAAAGGAGTAGTGGAGGGGGAGACTGGGACAAGAACAGGCTGGAGGAGCCAGGGACAGAAGGGCCTGTAACCACTAGATACACTCCCCCAAGAATCTAGAACAGAATCCAGGGTTCCTGAGTTTCAACATTTCTGTGCTGTCGCTCAGCAGATATCTGTAAAACCCATATGGAAAATGTGTGCTTTGTCTCCCTTTACTGGTTGGCCCACGTTAACTACTCTGTTCGCTCAAGTGGCAGGGGTCTGTGTTGTAGATATAATTAAATGCCCAATCTTGCTGATGAACCAACCATGTGGGAGTCCATATGGTTCCACATGGTGGAATGTCTGGTTTTTTTTCTAATTTGCTGTTTTAAAAACATAGGAAATTACCTACCAAAAAAACTGCATTAAAAATGTTTAGGTTGAAAAGTCAAGCTCTCAAAAGATTGACTAGGCAACATGGGGATTATGATACTTACTTCCCTTTGTAACGCACTTTGAGACTACTAATGAAAAGTGCTCTAAGAGCTAGTTATTATTATTTTTATTATTTCCAGTCATCACTTCTGTCTAGGAGTTGGTATGACTCCAATAAGATCAAATAACCCATCTTGATGCCCTAGATTTCCCTCAGTATAAAACATAAACACACGAATCG